GTGTTCTTCGTAGCCTTCAGCAGCGGCTATGGTATTCAGCAGAGAAGCTAATTGAATTGATCGACATCAGTGTATCTAGGTGTATCTAGGGTTATGTTCTAGCTAAGGAAAGGGGAGTTTATCGATCGACAGAGAGAAGGAAGGGTATGGTGGGTTACTAATTTAATTTGAGAAAGAAGTGGATGAGAAATTTTTGCTAAGGAAAGAAAGTGTTGGTGTGGGGTTACTAAAAATAGATGGCGGGAAGTTTATTTTTGGGAGGGAAAAGAAAAGTGAATATTTTTGGGAAGTTTATTTAGTGTCACTATTATTTGTTGATGTTTTTATGTCATATACATATGACATTTATGCATTGTTACTACTATATGTCGTCTAATACTGACACTTTATCAGAAAGTGTCACTAATGAAGTGTCACTATAAGACTCTCTACTAGTGTGAAATGAATGTGAACCACACAAGTTGTCCAAAAAAGGAAAGTGAGAAGAATTTTTTGGACGACCCAAAAAGGAAAGTGAGAAGAATTTTATGGCACGGAGTGAGTACTTTTTTAGGTTACTTTTTTTTATCTTTTCTTTTAACAATTACTAAATTAAGTAAACGTGTCCGCCAACATTTCTCACAAACTTGAAGTGGGTGATGATTAAAATTATCTCTAGATCATATTTTAATTTTCACATTTATCCTTTTTTGTTTTGTTTTATTACCTCTATTCTTTTTTATATATAATTTCTTTGCAATAGAAATTACAACGTACTAGTATAATTTTTTAAATGCTTAAATAGAAATTAGATTAAATACTAATGTCCTTATATATCTTTTTACAAACAAACAGCTATTCTTAAACAGCTAATTTACCAAACATTTAATTACTGACAACAAACTAACATAATCAGCCAACTAAAACAGCTAAAACAACCAGCTATTGTCAACCAGCTGTCATTACCAGCTAACAGCTGATTGCCAAACAAGGCCTATATTTAAAATATTTGTTATTAATAAAATAAAGAAAATATTATATGAAAAATAGCTAAAATGATCTTCTAAAGTTTATTTAGCCAATACAGCCAGGAAAGTAACTCCAATCTTACATTTTCAGACAAATGTACTAAATGTAGTGAAGGGTTCAACTCGGGTATTCACCGTTATATGGTAAAGGTTAATGTCAAGGACACTTCAGGATCTATCATGTTGTGTATTTGGGATCATGAGTGTCGTCAATTGCTACACAAAATTGCCGAACAGCTACAAGAAAGTTTGAATTTAGTATGGGGTTATAGCAATTGCATGCTTCTTATTATTAGAATTTTGTATGAGTGTTTGCACATTTTATATTTTGGTTAATAGAAAAAAGTTCATGTAACAGCAACATCAACAGAAATTGATAGTTAATTTGGTCGGCCAAAATCTTTTGTTTAAATTTGATATTACTGATGAAGATTTTACAAAACATGGGATCGATAAAGTGTTCTCTGTAAGGGGTATTACACAGAACCATGAAGTCATTGATTATTTTCTTAATAAAGAAAATGACAACACCCAGTCTCATGAGGTCTATAAAGCTTTCAACGTTATTTGAATTTCCCTTGTGAAATTTCTCATTAATTTTGATTTTGTAATGACTTTTTATATTTTATATTTCACATCTGTAGGAATTGCATTCTAACGATGATTTATTTGGAGATATTTTTCAATAAACCTGACATCACTTCGTCAATGTGAGTCAAATATATCCATTATTATTTCAATGTGTTGATTAATGTTTGAGATATTTATTTATATTTTACATTCTGTTTTTAGAATAGGCATGTGACATTTTTGTCTATACCTTTTTTGTGCGATGTTTTTATATTTATATCTTGCCTTATTATTTGTAGAATATGTCTCTTGTTATTGATGCTGAGGATGCCACAATTGCAACTCCAATTTCAAAGACACCTTGTTTGATGTTATGGAGTGTCAAGAAGAAACATCATTAATCCAAAACTCTACAACAACAAAAGCGCAAAACTATCAAAGTTGAGAAACTATGATGATGTCTTCATAGTTGTTTAGGACTTTTATTTTTGAAAGAGGCTTAAATTGATATCACAACATTTAGATAGGGGTAAAACGACAAAAGGACAACGACAACTGCTAGCCCTCGAACCAGATTTAGAGTCAATCACCTTCAAAAAAGCAATATGACTCGTTGACTAATGAGCATAAATGAGCCAATGACGGCTAAAATAGGCCTCACATCACCCAATCGTAATGCAAGAATCTTACAGTAATAAAAGCAATCAACAGAAAAATAAACAGTCTGATAATGAAAAATAAAAAGTAAGTAAACAGTAAAATTAAAATGCTACTTCCAAACCCTAGACTCTCATGCGCTCCATGACGACTGTTCAAGAGGGGGACAATCCAGTCGTACTGCAACTTCTTTCTCGCCTAGCCTCTTATTCATCATGTTCTCTACTAAGCCTCATCTGTCGCCACCTAATACGGATGACCTCGAATCCAGATCTATTCCAAACTTTAGCCACATGCTTCGTTCATGACCTTTGGCCGCCGGAGACCAAACGTCTGTCTTCCGTCCCTGCACAACCTTCGACCGCCAGAGACCAAGCATCCTTTCCATCCGCATAATCTTGGTAAAGCAAACGAAAAAAATAGTCACACAATTGATGGTGCAAGAAGAAACCGGTTGGGCGGGTTGGCCGCGATCGAGACCATCAGCGGGATAGCCATGACCCCAGCCATGAAAAGGACCTCCTTGCCCAATTGACGGCCACCTACACCATCTGCCTTTCGTCAAGGACGAAGGCGAAGAACCAGCCCCAACTACGAACGCACTTCGTCGGGGATGAAAGCGGAGGAACAAAATCCTAAAGAGGGAGAGCCAACTATTACTAGTTGTTTACAAATATGGGTGGAAACAGACCAGGCAAGATCAGTCTTTTGCCTAAACAGGCTGGGCTTGTTTTAGAATGTATGCGCCTGAGTCTGCCCTGCTACCTATTAAAGGTCCGTTTTTCCGGCCTAGCCTGTTTAAAAGCCCGACCTCGCCTGAAGCATGTTTATTAGGCCTGTTAGAAAAAAAAAAATCAAAAGTTAAAATAAAGTGATAATACTATTAACGTGGTATAAAACTTATCCTCCCAAATATTCAATAAAATATATGTTAGTTTTGGTTTGAGTGTCTAATAACACATTAGTTATGTAGCTTATAAATTTGTATGTACTTCAAATATTGAAAAACTTTGAATTTCAATAATCCTATTAACTTATTAACACATTAACTATATTTAAAACATCGTTCTAATTTATAATATTATAATTAATATTATAATTAATATTATAACCTATTTAAAACACATGCTCCATAAAAACACTTCTATACCTAATTTGTTATAGTTAAGTATACTAATATAATTATTTATGTAAAAATAAATAGTACAAAATAAAATACAAATAAATATATATACAAATACACACACAGGTAAGTCTAGCCTATTTAGATAAACGGACTTTTTGAAAAGCTTGATTATTGAACAGGTCAGCCCAGGCCAACTCGCAGGTCGCAGCCCGGAAATAGGCTCAAACGCCTATTTCCACCCCTATTTACAAACATTTAGAACTTCAATTTAGAGCTGATCCAGGAGCGGGCCTAGGAGCAGGGAAAATTATACCGTGCAACCGGCATACCATGTGCATGGTATGCCGGTGCCGTTTTTTCCGTTTTGTTATGCGCATGATATACCAGCGTTCCTTTTTCTTCTTTTCTATTTTCTTTCTTCTTATTTTTCTCTTCCACTTTCTTTAATTCTTTTCTCTTTAACATCAAATAATAAAAATTTATTTGTGATTTTACTTATCTTTATCTTTAACTAATTAAAATATAATTGAATTTACATTTTTTCTTTACCAAATTATTACAAAATTTTATTAATCCACATAAAATAAGTGTATTGTAATACATTTTATATTTTATTAATCCACATAAAAAGCATATTTTATTAATCCACATAATAATTGAATCTATTTTTTTATTCTCTATCAATGCATAACAAAATTTTTATAAATCTAAATAAAATAAGTATATTCCATCATTCAGCTCCTAGACAATGAAATCACATCTTCTTCTGCGCAAGTTACATCTTAATTTACGCGAGTTACATCTAAATATACGTGAGTTACATCTTAATGTATGCGAGTTACATCATTGAATAAACTCCAGCCTAGGTAGCACGGAAACTCTCGGGAAAGAGTACGTTTCCCGTTTCGGAAAACTCTCGGAAACTCTTCGGAAACTCTCCAAATAATCATTTTTGAGCAAAAGTTGATGTTTCCCGTTTCCCGTTTCCTCTTGATTTTCGCGTTTCCGTGCAATATAGACTCCAGCTGTATCATTTTTATAGCACTAATATTAAAAATAAAACATATTCACTATTTATAAAAAGTAATTAAGCTATTAGGATCAATTTTTCATTGTTTACATTGAAATCAATGTTTATAATATCTCAAACACAAAAAAAAATCATTGTTCAACTTTTCAACAAGTTACATTCTGTATACACCCAAGTTACATTTGGCATCAACGCGAGTTACATTTGTAATAACACGAGTTACATTAAAAAATCAACCACTGCTATTGAAACAAAAAAATGATCTTTTCTAAAAAATTATTTTTTATAGCCATGATATTAAAAACAAAACATATTCACGTTTTACCTAAAACAATTGTGCAATTAGACTGTCTTTTTTCATTATTTACATTAAAATCAATATTTGATAAGTTACATTTTGGATGCGCTTGATTTACATTGATCAATAATACGAGTTACATATCTTTACACGCGAGTTACACCATCTATGTTACTGGGACAAAAAAAATCATAGTACACCCACACGTGTACTGTTGATGTGATTTTTTTTTTTAAATTATCCAAAATTACCTCGTTTTAAAATCACAGTACAGTGTCATAGGTCCAAAAAATGAAAAGTAGGCCCTGTTTAATTGTCTATGACCTGTGTGAGTAGCAATCGGCCCAGGAAGAACCGCAAACCGCGAATGCCCTTCGCCAAGGAAGAAGGAAGCGACTGCCAGACTGCGTCTGCTTACTCTGCCTCACCGTTTCAGCAATTCAGGCGTTCACTCCGTTCAGCCTTCACTCTTCTTCTCTTCAGGTAATCCTCGTGACCTCGTCTCCTCCAGCCTCACTTGGATTGCTGAATTGCTAATTGATATCTCCCTATCTTAATTTTATATTCAATCTTATTTAAGAATTGCACTATACAATTCTAGAAATGACTCTATAACATGATTTCTTGATATATATCATATTTTTCGTCTTTGAAATAAGAAAACCGTGCATTGTTAATGATTTATTAATTATTAATACTTCGTATGATTATTTGATTAGTTTATAAATCATACATGAAAAGTTGATAAGTAATTAGTTGATTTGTGTAGTTCTTAATTTTTGTTGTTATCGACTGAGTGTTGGTGATATAATTTATTGATTTTGTTAGGTATTTTTTGAATTATAATAAAATTTATAAATTTAATTAATTTCAAGGTTTTAATAAATGGTTGAATCTGGATGGGTGAATCAGCTGCTGATCCATTTTTAGATGAGCCTAAATTTATTGTTTAGATTTTAACGCAATAATTTTTTCTCAATTTCCACTACATTTTGTTGGAAACACACAATGGACTAAAAGTAAAAGAAAACTATAAACACGTGACAAATACTTCTGCCACTTCTTCTGTCAGCTTTGGCCGGAAAATTGGCAAATGAAACTGTGTTATTACTTATTATGTATAGATAGCTTTGATGGTACCTGACCTAAAAATCCAGCGTTGTAGTGATTGTTCGGATTGATTATGTCATGATTGTTAACAGGACAGACGTTGAGAATCTTAATTGGGATGCAGGTAATCGGAACTCGAAAGTTTGAAAATGACTCCAGTAACGATGAATAATCCCGAAAAAAATGGTGATAATGTTGCATCAAAATCTCTAAATTCAGCTTCATCATCATTCAAAAGACTGGGTAGAAAGTCGCCATTCACTAGATATGGACTTCCTATGATCTCCCTCATGGTGCTGGGATCTTTTGGTCTTGGCCACCTTTTGCAAGGCAGGTTAGTTCTAGTGTTAAACCATAACAAATTTTTGATCATGCTATATTTGCTAGATAATGATCCGATGGACGCATACATCCCTTTAAACAGTGGGTTTACCTTTTTTATAATAAAAATGATAGTTTATTGATAGGAGTAGAAAAGGGTACAAGGTAGTGGGACATGTTGCCAAAACCTACCTAATAAACAAAGGGGAAGATTACATGACATAAGGAAAGGCTATAGCATCAAGCTTAAGAATGTTAAGGAATCTTGAAGATCTGACATCAACTCCCAGGCTAATCAGTTTGGCAGCGCAGTTGTCTTTCTCAGGGATATGACCTAAGATGATGTGGTTTTGATGTAAAATCCTAACGGTGAATTTCACCTAATTCGCTTTGAACTCTTAGGGTTTGTTTGTTAGGGTTGAATGGCGCGAGAACGAGAGTGCAGGTAGAGAGAAAAGATTAGAATTGGCCAGTTTCCAGTTTTTGTTCCAGTAGAAAGATTGAACAAGTAAAATAACATTTGGGTCGTATGTTTTTTAAAATCGTCCTTATCATGGGAAGAAAATGAGATGAAAGAGCCATTATTTTAAAAGTTAAAGATATGTTTTTTGTCTTGAGGTTAAGGTTCTAGAAATTCTCCTATACTTGACATTGCAATCTATGTCTTAGTCTTTAATTAGCAACATGATTTGCACAATACATATGTGGCATGAGGGAAATAGACATATAATTATATAAAATTAATAAATGGAATTTATCTCTCTTTCTTGCCACGGTGTTTTTGTGTTTTTGGTAATTTTTTCTCCCATGATGCCATACACAATGTCTTCGTCTAGATATTATTAAAACACAAAGACCATTGGAAGAAAGAGAGAATATTTATTACTCCGTACTTTTTATGTATGTATCTCTCTCATAACACACATGTGCACGATTGACATTTTTGCATTTGAGATGGTCTAATAAAGTTCGTTTTCACATTATCACTGGATAATATATGGATTGCATACATTTTTCTAAACGGCAAAAGCCTCTTTCCCGAGGGTAGTTGCATTATTTTAGTCACTGATGTATGTCTAAGTCAGTTTACATTTTTTCCCCAAAAACTTGCTCTTTATTTCAAAAACAGATATTCTCATCTCATTAATCAATCAATCATTAACCATGGCCAGCCCGCACCAGCCCTGCCGCATTTACGTCGATTTTAACACACACCCTTGGCGGTCGCTGCCATTTTTGTCTTGTTTTTAAGTCCCTGCAGCCTCCTCTCTTCCCGCCTGGTAGCTGGGCATCGCGCCAACCCTTCAACAAAGTTGTCTTACAATTGAAAATAACCTGACAGTCCAGCTTATGTCATCGCAACACTGCTTCATTTCTACCTTTCCACAAGCTCCACAGCGTGACATTAAAGTTGCTGCAACTATCTTCTACCTGCGCATAAAAAAAAACTTGCACCCATTGAGAGAGAATTCTGTTGATTTAGGAAGCTCATGTCAGGGTCTTCCAGACCTTCTTGGCTAGCATTGCCACATTTACTTCCTGTAATCTTGGAAAACCCAACCCACCTTGCTTCTTTGGTGCACAAAATCCTGCCACTTCACCGAATACCCTTCTTCGTCATATCTGCCTCTCTCCACAAATAGACATGCATTTGTTCCTCAATATCATTACATATCTCAATGGGAAGAGGAAAAACGTTCATGGCATATGTAGGCATAGATTGGATGACAGATTTAAGTAATACGATAATACCTCTCTGCCTGCCCAAGACAAGAAGCGACGATTCCAAGACAAAGTTGCTCTTGTGTGTTGTATATATTTCATTTTTATTTATTTCTATAAAAATTTATTTATTTATCGCTATAAATGTGTTGTGTAGTTCAGCAAGGATATTGCTAAAGTGAAGGATGATCGAGAGTGGGAAATCATTGAGACAAAAAAAGCACTTTCTAGAGAAGGGCCTGTGAATGCATATAACCCCAAAAAGATCAACTTGGAGGATGAATTGAAGGTATGCAAATTTTGACCGTGTACACATGACCTGTTAGGCTGTTACTTATTTTTGTTAAAAAAAAATAAGTTAGTTGTATCCCTAATTTCCATCCATATGTTCAGGCTCTGAAAGAAAAAGTTGATTTAAACAATTATGAATACAAGAGAATTCCCAAGCCTGATAAGAGCAAATGAAAGGCGCAATCCATAGCATGAAAGCGGCAGCAATCAATGTAGGGTATCTTGTTCTCCTAGAGGCTCTATTTGGTAGCCTTATGTTGCTTATTGAGTAGGAAGAGCGGCTTTTGACTTACTTGGCTGAAATGCATGTCACCAAGGATACTTTTTCTTTCCGAAAGTTCAGCAGATGCCACCATTCAACAAATACCTCTTTATGCGAGGTTTGAAGTCTTTTCGAACGCCCTTGTATTTCTGTTGCTAAATCTGCTGATTCTGAACTCTGAAGTACAATGATGTACATACACACATTGAACATTGTTTGAGCCACTGAATTACAATTTTTGCAAGGAACCCACATTGTTATACTCTATCTTCTGAAAATCTGTGCCTAGACTCGCTAACAAAACCTGACTAAATAGCTCTAAAGCCGGCTAATGTGCACAAAACGTTTGGAAAATGAAACCAGGGAAATGGCAAACCTGATTTTAACTCGTACCAGATCAGGATGAACTTCACACATAGGAACAGTTTTGAGAAGCCCACGCCCACTGCCCACCTCTAGAGTCTAAAACCTACGACTACTAAAGAGTTGCTTCAACCCACCAATGACTACTTCAATTGTGGGTATGGTGGATTGGTGGGTCGTACAAAATGGATTTACCGGGTTTGTGTTTACATAGTTAATACTTAATACTACTTCGTATTTGGATTTATTTAGAGATATTTACCGCTCTTATGACTAAAAGATGATGAGTTTCTCAATATATGACCACATCACTTTTTTTTCCTATTCTAATATTCATATACGGCACAAGGCCTGAAGGCCATTCCTGAATTTTAATTTTTTCTTTTATTCCATGTCTGCCCTTCAACCCTATTAAGTAATAATTGATTCTTCCTAAAAATACGGAATTGCTTTGCACAACTAATATGTAAACGGCGTATCAGTTACCATTCCTAAGAATAAGGAATATACTTATATAAGGTAAATGATGATCTGCACGACCCACATATATGTAAAAAGCTAGTTTATTATTGGAATTTTTAAGAATACTGGTAAAAAAATGAATTCGCTCCATATACTCCATATGTGTGTGTAGGTATGTATGTATATATGTCCAATGGCTTCCCGGTATCCAGGTTTCAGTTGGCCGGTTGGGAACGACAGCCCAGTTGATCAACAATAACCGTTCTGAGTCATTTGAAGATGACGATGATAACAACATCCAAGCCTTAGTCCCAAACGATATTGGGATCGGCTAACATGAATAGATACATGATATCATCATTTGAAGATGATGATATTGTGTATTAATATTGTGCATTGGTATTTGTGCATTGATTTTTTATTGGAAATAGCACTGCCAAATTAATGCGTTGTCTAAATATTAGAAACCTGTAACTGCAAAATCAAATGAGCAACTATTGCATTCTTAAAACTTGCTATACAAAATAACAATGCACGATATGAAAATTTAGTATCTACTGCGTATCTAACTAGTGCCTTGGCGGGAAAGTAATTGGACCGCACACTTTTTGACCTGTTCCCCATCGGCCCAAGTTCGGATCTTCAATCAATCAATCAGGTTGATGAGCTTCCTTCCCAGGCCCGTTTTGCTTACTATAGAGATTTATTTGGATTTCCTTCTTTTAGATGCTTTTATTGATTTTTTAGGAGGTGTGCCTCCTGGGAGGTATTGGCCTAGTCCCCCTCTCTTTTGTACCTTCTTTTTATTTTTATAAAATCCGGTAAATGTTCCCCGACATTTACCCCACTGATTTTGATGGTTTGCCTGCCGGACAAAAAAAAAATCTAACTAGTGCCTTAGTCACACAAAAGTAATTCTAGATATCAAATTTACTGCACGTTTGTAAGGCATTACTAAACATAAAATTTCACTGCACACCTACACCTTCATAATTTTTTCAACGCACAATTACGGCATATGCGTATGCTCTGTTCAAAGTTTTCAGTGTTGCACTTTCTCATTTATATTTCTTGGAAGTCTCGATCATAATCGTCACTTACCTTTAGCATTTTTTTATTCATTCCATAATTGTCGTTCCGAAAAATAAAGTTCGGCCGCAATACTTTCCTTCTTTTATTTGCAGGTTGCTTCCGTTACTTTCCTTTGTGAAAGTCTAGTTTATCAACTACACATACGATATGCACGTTTGCTTTATGAGGTCAATTTTGTCCTTCCATGTTGTTTATTATGTGGGGTGGGATTTGTTTTTGAATTTTTAGTCATACGGATGACTAATAACAGGTCAAGTCATATATTAGGAATTTTAATAACTTTTACAGTTTTACTCATATATAGGTATTTTTCCCATTTATTTATTGGTACGAGTCTACGAGTATTATACTCCCTTCGTCCCACTAAGATCTTTCTGCTCTTCTTTTTTAGCAGTCCCAAAATGAAGTTCTCATTTCCTTAAATAGAATGTTATCCTACATCAAAACAGTGTCAAACAGTACAAAATAATGTCAAACAGTGTCGAAACAATGTCAAAACAGTAAATTTTACCCCCTGGTAAGTTTATTTCTTTAATATGTGTGTAGGTCAAATTAGGAAGATCTTAGCGGGACGGGGGTGGTATTAAAGAACCGACTCACTACTAAAATATACGAGTACTTCGTATGAAGTACAATACATTACTCAAAATCAGTATTGCCATCATCATTTACTACTTGCATACTCTCTTAATTATTATCCCATTTTTCTTTTGGAAAATTCGCTGTGTACACAGCGGGTTACACACCCGTGTACACAGCATAAATACCTCCCCATTTTTACTTTTCCCCTTCTTCTTTTTACCCGGCTCCCACCCCATTCCCAATTCCCCGGATCGCTCTCTCTCTCTCTCTCTTTCCTCTTTTCCCTACCGCACAAATCATTCTCCCCTCCTGGTTTTCTTCCTCCGCCTCCTAGACTTTTTGCTTTCTTCTCTTCTTCTCCTTTTACTTAATTGATAACTAAATAGAAGGGGACATGGTCATCCAAGGTAGACACTGAAGCCCGGTTACGCGGTGCTCCTCTCGCCTCAGGTCACATTTCTTCTCTTCTTCCCTTTTTAATTTATCGATAATGAAATAATAGGGATTCAACCATATGAAACAAACTCCGGTTTTTAGATCCTTTTTCTTCCCGTCGGCCATCATAAGTGTGAGAACGGGGTGGTGGTGGAGGAGCTTCCTCCTCAGCCCAAGTCCAAGACGAAGGAGGTTTCAATTTCCTTACTAAGCTGCTAGTTAGTTTTGTTACTGTTTTGCAGGGGATGGAAATTATTAATTAGATGGATCAACAAACTTGTCTCTATTTTAGTTCCATTGTTACAGATTTTATGGTTGGTTAAAAAATGTTATAGGAATTATACTTCTCTGTTTTAATTTTTATTCAACTATTGTATTTTACTTTTATGCCTATAAGGTGTTTGTTGAAATGCTTTAATGAATGCTTTTGTTCATATCATGTTTTTTTTTGTAATCATTCTCCTTTTCTATTTATATGTTTGTATGTTTGGATTTTAAATATTATTTTCTACTTTTCCAGCTTAAATTGTGTTAGATTGTGTACATATTTTGTGTATACTTGTTTGTCATTCGCAGACAAGTTGTTTGTTACAGACAACTCATTTTAAATGACAGACAATTTGTCTGCGAAGGACAAACAATTTATCTGCGAAGGACAGACAAATGTACACAAAAGGTGTGCACATTTTGTGTAAACCTAGCAAAACTATTAAGATAAACTCAATGATTTTGTTGGATCTTATGTATGTTTGTATGAATGTGTGTTGAAAGTGTGTTGTTCTATCTTCTTTAGGTTTAGTTGTTCTTTCTATTTCAATGTGGTCTGTTTTTATTTATATAATCAGAATTATTCCTATTGAGTTGTGCATGTTTTCTTATTATTTATTGAGCTTATTTTATTTTGTAATTTGTAGTCCTTTTGATTTGATTTATTCTGATGTTATTACGCCCTTTGCGATTGAACATTCAATTGTTGATAGTTGGCAGGAACTACTTACGCTCTTTGTTCGACGGAGATAATGAACCTTCAAAAGAGGTGTGTGATAAATCGAATGATGGCAGAAAAGGGATTGAGGAAGTCAAGAATGAGAGATTTAGAATACATTATAACTAAGTATTTTTATTCTTGTAACTAGCTATACAGTTAATGTTCTTGTATTTAGAATGATAGTGTAATTCGAGTTGGTAATGTCTTCAATGTATGTTTTGTGTTATGAAAATGAACTTGGATATTGTACAACAAATTTGTGTTATTAATCCATGTTGTAAGTTGACTAAAAAGGATATCTGAATGTTTATTTTGTTTGCCATTGAAGTGTCTGTGAACATGTATTTTTTCGTTTTTAAAGTGAATTGTCTGTGAAACAAACATAAAGAATCATTCAATGATTTACTACATATACTACATATAATTTACTATAAATCGGAAAAAATAAATCATATTAACAATTAAAATTATTTTTGTTAAATGTAATAATTAGTTATCTTTATCATCTATCATCTTTAAATGTACTCGTTGTGATTGTGCACAAACATTTTTTTTTCGTTTTTTAAAGTGAATTGTCTGTGACATCGACAAAAAGTTGTCTGTGGTATAAACAATTTATTGTCTGTATCACAGACAATTCACGTTACGAATGAAAAGATATTTGTCTAAAGGATGTTTGAAATTTAACAGGTGGTGTATTTAAAATGTAATCCATCAACCTTTAAAATTGTATGTAGCATAAACAATTTATTGTCTGTGTTACAGACAATCCACTTTACGAATGAAAAGATATTAGTTTAAAGGATGTTTGAAATTTAACATGTGGTGTATTTGAAATTGTCTGTGTGGTCAAAACATCGTATGTCTTTGTTAGTTTGTTTATATTGTCTGTGCATGATGAAAACATTGTCTATTATTCGTTTATTTTGTCTGTGCATAGACAATAACTATTGTCTGAGTATTTGTTTATTTTGTTTGTGTGTAATATGAATGTCTGTTTTCAGAATTTCATAAAAGGGGAAGCAAACATAAGAAATAGTGTTACAACATTTGCTACACATCCATAATTTCTATCTACTTTCTCCAAATCTAATTTCACCAACATGAGTATAAGATTAACAATTTAGTTTTTCAATCGAAATTACATATACAATTGCATAACATAGATGTACATTTGCATAACCCCTTCCCTTGGTGTCACCTTCATCCTGGGAGGTCATTGGGCTTCCCTATCAACATTTTTATTATTGCCATGTGCCAACTTCACAATAGCAACATGAAACCATAACACGTTAATATGCAACTTCAAAAGAGGCTTGTTGGTCGTACTCTCCTAATGAATTGAGGCTGAACAACAAACATGATATGTTAAAAACATGTCATACAAACATATAAACAGAAAAGGAGAATAATTACAAAAAAAACATCATATGAACAAAAGCATTCATTAAAGCATTTCAACAAACACCTTATAGGTATAAAAGTGAAATACAATAGTTGAATAAAAATTAAAATTATAATCATCAAAATCCATTCTAATAACATGGCTGGTGTAAAAAAAACATCTAACTAAAACAGAGAAGTATAATTCCTATAACATTTTTTAACCAACCATAAAATCTGTAACAATGGAACTAAAATAGAGACAAGTTTGTTGATCCATCTAATTAATAATTTCCATCCCCTGCAAAACAGTAACAAAACTAACTAGCAGCTTAGTAAGGAAATTGAAACCTCATTCGTCTTGGACTTGGGCTGAGGAGGAAGCTCCTCCACCACCACCCCGTTCTCACACTTATGATGGCCGACGGGAAGAAAAAGGATCTAAAAACCGGAGTTTGTTTCATATGGTTGAATCCCTATTATTTCATTATCGATAAATTAAAAAGGGAAGAAGAGAAGAAATGTGACCTGAGGCGAGAGGAGCACCGCGTAACCGGGCTTCAGTGTCTACCTTGGATGACCATGTCCCCTTCTATTTAGTTATCAATTAAGTAAAAGGAGAAGAAGAGAAGAAAGCAAAAAGTCTAGGAGGCGGAGGAAGAAAACCAGGAGGGGAGAATGATTTGTGCGGTAGGGAAAAGAGGAAAGAGAGAGAGAGAGCGATCCGGGGAATTGGGAATGGGGTGGGAGCCGGGTAAAAAGAAGAAGGGGAAAAGTAAAAAATGGGGAGGTATTTATGCTGTGTACACGGGTGTGTAACCCGCTGTGTACACAGCTAATTTTCCTTTTCTTTTTCTGCCTCTCTTTAAGCTGGCTTCATATCAAATTTTGTAATATTTATATATTTCCAAATTATTTTAATTACTCGTTTCGTCCCATTTTACTTGTCATACTTTTCTTTTTGGATTGTCTCAAAATAAATGTCTAACTGTTTTTTGAACAAAAAAATTGTGGCATACACCTTTTTACTTTACTATACTCAAATCTCAATCACAACTTTTTACTTTTTCGACCACTTTATTAAAATGGGACGGCACCATTACTTTATAAATTTAATTTCAATCACCTAAAATCATTTTTGGAATAACGGCACCATTAGCTTATATTACATACTGAATAGTGCTTTTCTCAATCTTAAAGTAAATTGCGTTGTCAACTCGAACGAAATACGTAATATGGAATTATGGATAAAACATCATTCATTTATTTAAAAATGAACGATTAAATACTACGGAGTACATGTTGAAACATTTGTCCCACATCGGAAAGTTATAAAAACAATGAAACACTATATAAGGCTTTGGGCTACTCTTACAGATTGACCTTTTAGGATGGAACCTCAGGTCTTAACATGGTATCAGAGTCAATTCCGGTTGTGGTTTGACGATTTGTTTAGCACCCATGATTAAGGGTAGCTTGTTAAGGGTTTGTTTGGCCCGTTTATACACCCCGATATTGTCCATCCCGGTTCGGGCTGAGGTGGCGTGTTGAAGCATTTGTCCCACATCGGAAAACTATAAAAACAATTAAACACTATATAAGGCGGCTTTGAGCTACTCCTCCTATCAGGTTGACCTTTTAGGATGGAACCCCAGATCTTAACAGTACGTATTTTGGATTAAAAAACATTCATTTATTTGATTTTATCAAATTTTTAGAAAAAAGATGATTTATAATATTACGTACGTGTTTTGGTTACTACTAATATGGATGGATAAGTTGCATTGAGAATAAACATAATTCCCTGAGTCTCCCTTCGTCTTGAAATGATTTGCAACTCATCATTTTTTGTGAACTAATGTTGAATTGCTGTGAACTAATGTTGAATTAAATCCTTTGTCGATAATTAATTCAATTTTAATTAATTAATTTTTACTTATTGGAAAAATCACATTCAAATATCTTTAAAATTGTAAATTTCAAATTAGAATATAATTAGAAATTCACATCATAATTAAGTGGATAAGTTGAAAATGTTTAACCAAAAAAAGTCAATTTTTCAAATCAACGATGAAGGTAGTATAGTAGATAAATTTCACCGTTATTATTGGGGAAGTATGAGGCCGAGGAATTAACAAAGGGTGGGTTTGAGATATACTACGTACTACTAAGTACTTGGTACAAGATACAACTCCAAAAAAAGAAGAAATGGAATTGAATTACAAAGACATATTTATGTTCCAAGTCCAAACACAACCGTTTGATGATTGAAATGTTGCTAGGAAAAATAGATAGATGCCAATAAATAAAACGTTTGTTCGGTCATCTTCATGGATCGATCTTAAATCTCGAAACGGAACTGAGGGCGGCCGGAATGAAGCTAAGGAGCGTCGGCGAAGACTCTGACTTTGACGACAGATCCGTCTCTGAGATTGTAAACAGAGAGGGGCTGATCGCTCTTCATTTCTGTAGAGTTGGTGTGGAGAGTCATGTGCTCACTCCCCCACGCCCGTTTTATTATCTTTATCAGATCCATCACCTTACCGCTCCCGTTCACTTCTGCCCGGAACTCCGACGTCGGCGACTCCACTTTTATCCGCAACTTCTTCTCCCCCGCCATTATGAACGCAACTAACTGTGCCGGCGCCCGGCGGCCGCTTTTTCTGATTCTTTCTTTTGATTTTGGAATAGGTTGGCCTTTCAAATGTTCGTACGTGAGTGATTTTTTAATGAAGGATATGTGATCATGAATTAACGAGGACAGATGACAGCTAGCAAGAAGGGTAGATGATTAAATTAAATTATTGATGGAGCCCATATTACAATATAATTTGACATGGGATTGTGGATGAGGATGAGATTCACTTAGTCAAAGTCCAATAAATCAATAATTGATTGAGAGAAGATGTATTTCCATACCTTGGAATGTACGTATTTATGTACGTTTGCATAATATAAGTAAACTCGTCCTAAGCTTAAATTTTGATGCTTAAAACAAATCATAAATTTATGTAAATAATGCTGACAACTCTTTTACATAAATAATGTACAAGCAGTCCAAACTCTAAAGTTGCATCGAATTGATATGTATGTAGTACGGATTATCAAACCTTTGACATTATATGAATGAATATACCACCCCGCCCCATTTTATGTGTCTTAGTTTGACTTGACACGATTATTAATGAAGTGATTGAAAAAGTAAAAGTTATGGTTGAGGTTTGAGTATAATAAAGTGAAATGATATAGACCACATATTTCTTTTCAAAAGAGAAAAATAGACACTTATTTTGGGACAATCCAAAAAGGAAAGTAGAATGAGTAAAATGGAATAGAAGTAATTGATACAAAATCTTTAGGGCCTGTTTACTAACAGAAATATTTTCCAGTTTTCCAGAAAACTGGAAAACTGGAAAACAGAAAACAGGAAACGTGTTTACCAAAGAAATTCCTGGAAAACTGGAGAAAGTAAAAAAGAAAAACGCGTTTACCAAATCGTTTTCCAAAACGGAAAAAATGAAACATGTCTCTCTTTTCCTTAATGATTTGGAGAAGTGACTTTTACTAGTTTTCTAAATTTGGAAAACGCAGATGCTACAGTGCCTTTGCAATGAATTTGCATACTTACACCTAGTGGTGGGTCCGGTCCCGCTCCGATGTCGATTTCATTCCGGTACCTCCATCCTCGTACCTTACCCCTTACCCCTTACCCCTACCCTACCCTACCCATCCAACCCCCACCTCGCGTACCCATTTTTCCCTATAATGACCTTACCCCCACCCCCCACCACATGCCCCGACCTCGGCCCCACCCCGATCCACCCTACCCTACCGCCACCCCCCTACCACCTCGACCCCACCTCGATCCACCCTACCCTACCGCCACCCCTACCACCTCGACCCCACCCCGACCCACCCTACCCTACCCCCCACCCCTCGTATATTACCACTTACCCCTACCTTACCCCTTACCACATGCCTCTTACCTCGGCCCCACCCCACCGCCATACTACCCCCACCCGCGTACCGCCATCCTACCCCCACCCCACCCCTACCCTACCTCGGCCCCACCCGGATCCCTGGTCCACCCTACCGCCATCCTATCCCAACTCCCTACCCTACCCTTACCTTACCCCAACCCCAAACCCTACCCACTGCCCCCACCCTTACCGCCATCCTACCCCTTCCCTACCCCAGCCCCACCCTGGTCCCGACCCCACCCTACCACCATCCTATCCCAACTCCCTACCCTACCCCTACCTTACCCCAAACCCCACCCACTACTCCCACCCTTACCGCCATCCTACCCCCCACCCTACCCCTTCTCTACCCCGGCCCCACCCCTGGTCCCGACCCCACCCTGCCGCCATCCTATCCCAACTCCCTACCCTACCCCTACCTTACCCCAACCCTACCCACTACCCCACCCACTACCCCCACCCAACCCCCTACCCCTAAACCTTACCACCTCACTCCGACCATACCCCTTACCCCACCCCCACCCATAACTTCCCTACTCGACCCCTACGAGTAGGTATGGGTGGGTATGAAGGGTTGTGGTGGAGTATGGGTAGAGTGTAAGATCGTGGTAAGGGTAAAGGTAGGGGTCAAGGGTGTGGAATTGGAGAACTATGTGAAAAAATTGATGAACATGTTTTCAAATTTGAAAATGGAAAACTAAAAAATAGAAACAGAAAATTGGAGATAGAAAAACTGAAAAATAAAAACAGAAAATTGGAGAACGAAAAACAGAAGTAGAAAACAGGAAAATATCTGTGTTAGTAAACAGGCCCTTAATGTTTTAGCACATCTTTTGAATAACATTTCTGCCGCAGGTACCAACTCCTACTACGTAGTATTTTTCTAGTCCAGATTTACAGAAGCAGCTGATTGTGCTCCAAATAAAAAAGACAAGTCATGGACGCGACGCAAGTGCTTTATTGCAATGATTTTTCCATTTTTATCGTCCAAAGAGAGATCTATGTTACGGTTTTGGTTAGCCCAAGCTAACGTTTTTAGCGTAAAATTTTTCATTTTTCATATTTCACACATGTTAACGTTTAAGTCTAATATAATTACCCTCTCCAGCTTAGTCTAGCCCAGATTTTCTAAATCACACCCTTTCTTTGGCTGGTTAAGCGTCTCATTTAATGACTGACTCGTTGACAGTTTTAGTGATCATAATTCTTCTCGTCTCTACATCATAATGACTATGCTTAATTATAGTCCGGAGTGATATTTTTGTCCGTACATTATATTTCTGTAATATTTAAGAAAAAACCTCTATTAATCTAATAATTATCTAACTATCATTTTTATATATACACCCAGATTCTTCTATTTTTTACTAAACATACATTAAATCACATTCACTAGGTTTTATTTTAGCTCCCTTTTTAATGATTATTTTAGCTCCCTTTATCTAATTGAAGCGTTAATGTCGACATTAATTTTTTCGCTAAAATAGGTAATTATCTAGCATGTTCCTTTTGATAATTCACGTTTCTAGCATGCTTTTCACGATTTTTGAGCTAAAATTGTCAACCTTGTTTTTAATAATGTCACTATAAATTGCACTGATATACTGCACTAACTAGTGTGATATTTGCTAGAAAGCATGCGGGTAGTGCCGATAATATGATTTGCTAGAAAGCATGCGGGTAGATAGCGAACGACACGTAAAGCTGCTGGCCAATGATCCTGACGCGGAGCCTGCATAAACTGAGACAAAATATGAACAGAATAAGCTAGATTTGGCCGAGTAAAGGACAGATAAATCAAACGACCAACAAGTCGTCTATAGGAATCCGGATCAGCTAAAAGTTCGCTCTGAGAAAGAGCTAAAGTATGATTTTGCTCCATAGGAAAGACCGCAGGCTTGGCGCCAAGAAGACCCGATTCAGAAATAATGTCCAGAGTATATTTTCTCTGGCAGAGAAAAATACCATCAGCACTACGAGCCACCTCGATCCCGAGAAAATATTTAAGAATCCCAAGATCCTTCATGTGAAAGCATTCATGCAGATAAGATTTAAAATGAGATATAACAAATGAATTATTGCCAGCAACAATTAAATCATCCACATAAATAAGAACAAATAAGTGATCCGCTTCCTTGTGCAAAGCAAAGAGCGAGTAATCTGAATAGGAGTGAAGAAAACCTTAATGCTTCAAAGAAGCTGCCAATTTTGCAAACCAGCATCGAGGAGCTTGTCGCAAGCCGTACAATGATTTTTTCAAACGGCAAACTTGATCAGGGTGAGAAAAATGAAACCCAGGAGGAGGCTTCATATAGACCTCCTCATCTAAATCCCCGTGAAGAAAGGCATTATGCAAGTCCATCTGATGTAATTCCCAGTTTTTAGCAGTAGCAACAGCTAAAAACATGCGAACAGTAACCATTTTTGCTACTGGAGCAAAGGTCTCAGTATAGTCTATCCCTTCTCGTTGATGATTGCCAAAAACAACCAGGCGTGCCTTGAGGCGTTCAATGGTGCCATCAGAATGATATTTTATTTTATATACCCACTTGCAACCAAGAGCCTTTTTACCTGGCGGAAGCGATTCTACAACCCAAGTGTGATTATTCTCAAGAGCCTGAATCTCACGCTGCATGGCTTCACGCCAACCGGCGTCAGTCATAGCCTCTCGGAAAGTCCGCGGTTCATGCCCTGCAAGTATAGCTCCAACAAACTTTCGATGACGACTGGAAAATTTGTCACAATTAAGAAAATTAGCTATAGGATACGGCGTACCTGAGGAACCAGTAGTGGAGGTAGGCAACGGGGATGGGCTCAATGGATGAACATGATGCGTAACATAATCACGAAGTAGAACAGATGGGCGTTTGGATCGTTGACCACGGCTGAGGGTAGTAGTTTCAGAAGTAGCAGCTGCGATGTCTCCATGCGAGGTAATAACCGCAGTGTCTCCATGCGGGGGAGAGTCAGCAGAAGCCCCTACCGTCGAATCATCATCAAGAATTACAGGCAGGGAGGTTGATGTATCAATAGAAGATGTGCTAGACTGTGTGTCAGCCGAAGGAGAAATCATGAGGAAAGGAAATTCATTCTCATGAAAGACAACGTCCCGAGAAATAAATATCTCACATGTGGCCCAATCAAACACCTTCCATCCTTTTTGCTCGTGAGGGTAACCAACAAAGACCCCTCGACGACTACGTGGAGAAAATTTATCTTTCCGAGAATAAACATTGTGAGCAAAACACAAGCAACCAAATACTCGTAAATGAGAAAAATTCGGTGCAACTCCATGCAGAACCTCATACGGTGTCTTACCCCCCAAAACACCAGATGGGGTGCGGTTAATAAGGTGTACCGCCGTGAGTACACCCCCCCCCCCCCCAAGCTAATATGAACATTAGCTTGAAACATCAAAGCTCGTGCAACATTTAAAATATGGCGGTGTTTGCGTTCCACCCTCCCATTCTGCTGGGGGGTGTAAACACACGAGGTTTGAAACAAGATCCCATGAGTAACAAAGTATGACCGCATGCAAGTAAATTCTGTCCCATTATCACTACGCACCGTGCGAATAGACACCGCATGTTGGGTTTTGATCATAGCAAGAAATGAAAGGAAATATTTTTGAACCTCCTTTTTATCACGCAGCAAATAAACCCAAACAGCACGAGAGAAATCATCCACCAAAGTAAGAAAATAAATGGCATCACACGTGGAGGGAGTCTTATATGGACCCCACAAATCACAATGAACCAGTTCAAAAATTGTACTAGACTT